CGGTATCTCATACATGCATACAGTAGCTATGACACAGACACCTACACAAGAGACAGTACGGCATCTCATACATGCATACAGAAGCTATGACACAGACACCTACACTAGAGACAGTACGGTATCCCACACATGCATACAGAAGCTATGACACAGACACCTACACTAGAGACAGTACGGTATCCCACACATGCATACAGTAGCTATGACACAGACACCTACACAAGAGACAGTACGGTATCCCATACATGCATACAGAAGCTATGACACAGACACCTACACAAGAGACAGTACGGTATCCCACACATGCATACAGTAGCTATGACACAGACACCTACACTAGAGACAGTACGGTATCCCGCACATGCATACAGTAGCTATGACACAGACACCTACACAAGAGACAGTACGGTATCTCACACATGCATACAGTAGCTATGACACAGACACCTACACAAGAGACAGTACGGTATCCCACACATGCATACAGTAGCTATGACACAGACACCTACACTAGAGACAGTACGGTATCCCACACATGCATACAGTAGCTATGACACAGGCACCTACACTAGAGACAGTACGGTATCCCACACATGCATACAGTAGCTATGACACAGACACCTACACAAGAGACAGTACGGTATCCCACACATGCATACAGTAGCTATGACACAGACACCTACACTAGAGACAGTACGGTATCTCATACATGCATACAGTAGCTATGACACAGACACCTTTACTAGAGACAGTACGGTATCCCACACATGCATACAGTAGCTATGACACAGGCACCTACACAAGAGACAGTACGGTATACCACACATGCATACAGTAGCTATGACACAGGCACCTACACAAGAGACAGTACGGTATCTCACACATGCATACAGTAGCTATGACCCAGACACCTACACTAGAGACAGTACGGTATCCCACACATGCATACAGCAGCTATGACACAGACACCTACACAAGAGACACTACGGTATCCCACACATGCATACAGTAGCTATGACACAGGCACCTACACTAGAGACACTACGGTATCCCACACATGCATACAGTAGCTATGACACAGGCACCTACACTAGAGACAGTACGGTATCTCATACATGCATACAGTAGCTATGACACAGACACCTACACAAGAGACAGTACGGTATCTCACACATGCATACAGTAGCTATGACACAGACACCTACTCAAGAGACAGTACGGTATCCCACACATGCATACAGTAGCTATGACACAGACACCTACACAAGAGTCAGTACGGTATCCCACACATGCATACAGTAGCTATGACACAGACACCTACAGAAGAGACAGTACGGTATACCACACATGCATACAGTAGCTATGACACAGACACCTACACAAGAGACAGTACGGTATCCCACACATGCATACAGTAGCTATGACACAGACACCTACAGAAGAGACAGTACGGTATCCCACACACGCATACAGAAGCTATGACACAGACACCTACACAAGAGACAGTACGGTATACCACACATGCATACAGTAGCTATGGCTTAGGCACCTACAGAAGAGACAGTACGGTATCCCACACATGCATACAGTAGCTATGACACAGACACCTACACAAGAGACAGTACGGTATCCCACACATGCATACAGTAGCTATGACACAGACACCTACAGAAGAGACAGTACGGTATCCCACACATGCATACAGTAGCTATGACACAGACACCTACACAAGAGACAGTACGGTATCCCACTGATGCATACAGTAGCTATGACACAGACACCTACACAAGAGACAGGACGGTATCCCACTGATGCATACAGTAGCTATGACACAGACACCTACACTAGAGACAGTACGGTATCCCACACATGCATACAGTAGCTATGACACAGACACCTACAGAAGAGACAGTACGGTATACCACACATGCATACAGTAGCTATGACACAGACACCTACACAAGAGACAGTACGGTATCCCACACATGCATACAGTAGCTATGACACAGACACCTACAGAAGAGACAGTACGGTATCCCACACATGCATACAGTAGCTATGACACAGACACCTACACAAGAGACAGTACGGTATCCCACTGATGCATACAGTAGCTATGACACAGACACCTACACTAGAGACAGTACGGTATCCCACACATGCATACAGTAGCTATGACACAGACACCTACACTAGAGACAGTACGGTATACCACACATGCATACAGTAGCTATGACACAGACACCTACACAAGAGACAGTATGGTATCCCACACATGCATACAGTAGCTATGACACAGACACCTACACAAGAGACAGTACGGTATCCTACACATGCATACAGTAGCTATGACACAGACACCTACACTAGAGACAGTACGGTATCTCATACATGCATACAGTAGCTATGACACAGACACCTAGACAAGAGACAGTACGGTATCTCATACATGCATACAGTAGCTATGACACAGACACCTTTACTAGAGACAGTACGGTATCCCACACATGCATACAGTAGCTATGACACAGGCACCTACACAAGAGACAGTACGGTATACCACACATGCATACAGTAGCTATGACACAGACACCTACACAAGAGACAGTACGGTATCCCACACATGCATACAGTAGCTATGACACAGACACCTTTACTAGAGACAGTACGGTATACCACACATGCATACAGTAGCTATGACACAGACACCTACACATGAGACAGTACGGTATACCACACATGCATACAGTAGCTATGACACAGACACCTACACAAGAGACTGTACAGTATACCACACATGCATACAGTAGCTATGACACAGACACCTACACAAGAGACTGTACGGTATCTCATACATGCATACAGTAGCTATGACACAGGCACCTACACAAGAGACTGTACGGTATCTCATACATGCATACAGTAGCTATGACACAGACACCTACACAAGAGACAGTACGGTATACCACACATGCATACAGTAGCTATGACACAGACACCTACACAAGAGACACTACGGTATCTCATACATGCATACAGTAGCTATGACACAGACACCTACACTAGAGACAGTACGGTATCCCACACATGTAACAGTAGCTATGACACAGACACCTACACAAGAGACAGTACGGTATCCCACACATGCATACAGTAGCTATGACACAGACACCTACACTAGAGACTGTACGGTATCTCATACATGCATACAGTAGCTATGACACAGACACCTACACTAGAGACAGTACGGTATCCCACACATGTAACAGTAGCTATGACACAGGCACCTACACTAGAGACTGTACGGTATCTCATACATGCATACAGTAGCTATGACACAGACACCTACACTAGAGACTGTACAGTATACCACACATGCATACAGTAGCTATGACACAGACACCTACACAAGAGACTGTACGGTATCCTACACATGTAACAGTAGCTATGACAGACACCTACACAAGAGACAGTATGGTATCCCACACATGTAACAGTAGCTATGACACAGACACCTACACAAGAGACTGTACGGTATCCTACACATGTAACAGTAGCTATGACAGACACCTACACAAGAGACAGGACGGTATCCCACACATGTAACAGTAGCTATGACACAGACACCTACACAAGAGACTGTACGGTATCCTACACATGTAACAGTAGCTATGACACAGACACCTACACAAGAGACAGTATGGTATCCCACACATGTAACAGTACCTATGACACAGACACCTACACAAGAGACTGTACGGTATCCTACACATGTAACAGTAGCTATGACACAGACACCTACACAAGAGACAGTACGGTATCCCACACATGTAACAGTAGCTATGACACAGACACCTACACAAGAGACAGTACGGTATCCCACACATGCATACAGTAGCTATGACACAGACACCTACACAAGAGACAGTACGGTATACCACACATGCATACAGTAGCTATGACACAGACACCTACACAAGAGACAGTACGGTATCTCATACATGCATACAGTAGCTATGACACAGACACCTACACAAGAGACAGTACGGTATACCACACATGCATACAGTAGCTATGACACAGACACCTACACAAGAGACAGTACGGTATCCCACACATGCATACAGTAGCTATGACACAGACACCTACAGAAGAGACAGTACGGTATCCCACACATGCATACAGAAGCTATGACACAGACACCTACAGAAGAGACAGTACGGTATCCCACACATGCATACAGTAGCTATGACACAGACACCTACAGAAGAGACAGTACGGTATCCCACACATGTAACAGTACCTATGACACAGACACCTACACAAGAGACTGTACGGTATCCTACACATGTAACAGTAGCTATGACACAGACACCTACACAAGAGACAGTATGGTATCCCACACATGTAACAGTAGCTATGACACAGACACCTACACAAGAGACAGTACGGTATCCCACACATGCATACAGTAGCTATGACACAGACACCTACACAAGAGACAGTACGGTATACCACACATGCATACAGTAGCTATGACACAGACACCTTCACAAGAGACAGTACGGTATCTCATACATGCATACAGTAGCTATGACACCTACACCTACACAAGAGACAGTACGGTATCCCACACATGCATACAGTAGCTATGACACAGACACCTACACAAGAGACAGTACGGTATACCACACATGCATACAGTTGCTATGACACAGACACCTACACAAGAGACAGTACGGTATCCCACACATGCATACAGTAGCTATGACACAGACACCTACACTAGAGACTGTACGGTATCCTACACATGTAACAGTAGCTATGACACAGACACCTACACAAGAGACAGTACGGTATACCACACATGCATACAGTAGCTATGACACAGACACCTACACTAGAGACAGTACGGTATTCCACACATGCATACAGTAGCTATGGCACAGTGATTGCAGTCAGCTGTGAGAGTAACTCTGCCTGTATGTTATGTGTTACAGGCTGGTCCAGCATGCCAGCTAAGGAAATACCGCAGCAGGAGTATACACAAATACGGATTTAGTCAGACCTACAAACAAAAAGGTAGGAATTATTATTCAATACTTTGTCATTGAACTCTTTGATTTCAACTTGCGAGCCTGTCTTGAGGCTGATGACATTGTGAGCCGGTGCTGGCACCAGTGGTTCTCTGTGAACAGTGATACAAGTGTACGCTTCCATAGAGAGTGTCTACGGAGACTACCTCGTGCTGGGCCTTCTTCTGCCAGTAGTCAGGCATAGACAGAAATACAACTTGTGTTGATTGAAATATCAGAAACAATTTCTTAGTAGTTTTTTTGCTGTTTTTCAACACCTCTAATTATTTTTGGTATCTGGACTAAAATGGAATATTTGTTAACAGGTTTTGCTCATATATGTGTAAATCTGCCACTTTTATGTAACTGCAAACATTTCCCCATCTGAATATTTCGAATTATGACATATGTGGTGGTATGATTCCTGCTTGCTGATTTTGACGAATCAGGTGGTGTAGGTGTATTGAGTTGTTTATATCACAACCTGAGTTCCATCATGGCTGTGCTGGTTGTTCCAGTACATGAGTCGTTGTACATATTATTATTCAGTTTTATATATTTATTGTTGCTGGGCATCTGGTCTGACTGTACCTAATGAAGCCTCCATGTGTAACACAATGCTGTGTGCATACCTGGCTCTCTGTACACAGGGAGTGAGTGAGGCCTGACATAGACTATAAATATGGCCAAGTTGTGAAGCAGCTGCAGTCCATCTACATGATGTATATGCATAGAAAATAGTACCAAGAGGTGAAGTCAACTTCTTATATTTTATTTATTTGTAAAATTAAGAATTATTGCCATCAGCTATGGCACTGATCAGATTATTTTTAATATGGTGAAGATAAAACATGATCAGTTGCCAGGAAAATATTTTCAATGTATATAGTATTCATATAATGAATAATAGCAACTAAGAATTATTGCCATCAGCCATGGCACTGATCAGATTATCTTAAAATAAGGTGAAGAAAAAACATGATCAGTTGTTAGGAAAATATTTTCAAAGTATATAATATGAAACTTACAAGTAATAACAACTTATTTTACTCGTTTGGAATCAAATGACTATTCTGACAACATGGCCAGCTGCATTGATCTTGTTTATTACTTGGTATCAAAGTAATAAAACTTGATCACCAGAATTTCTAAATGAATCCAATGTAATCGTCCTCCAGTTGCGTTTATTCTTTTAGATATTAACCCAGAGGACCCAGACAGTTGTTACCCAATTAGGAAACACATGTTTTGTGTATGTAAAGCTAACAAGTTTTATTGACTCGATGAGAGCATGGCTGACAGAAATTGAATAGCTTTTTGATCTTGGCTGTAGCGTTGTGGACAAGTTGCGAACACTGTTGTAGCAGTTGGTATTCCCCGAGGAATCCACTGAACCTGCCTCGCTGGCTTGATTAATGCTCTGACACAGGAGGAATAATTGTGAACTTGACCAAAAGTGGAATCATTATTGTGTTGTTATCATGACCTAGTCATTGCATGCAGTCAGCCATAGTATTCATAGATTTGTGCAGGAAGTGCTATGCTACAACCTTCAGTATTCTTATATTTAAATAATTCAGAAATATTATCTTCATAGATTGTACAGTTATTTTATGCATTAAGGGCATTGCCCTGCTGGTGACAACATGTGATGTGATTTGCAATAAGATAGCAGCAAAAGAAAATCAATTGAGATATTGATGTGAATGTGTTTGAAGCCACTATGAATCCATTATTAGATTTATAATCAAAGCCTTTTTGAAAGAGACATGATTTTAGTAATTTAATTCTTTCCACCAGTTTTTCTTTAAATGTTTCCATGACAAGGTTGCGGTTACATAAAGAAGTTGCGATGAATATCAGCCATTACTTAGCCAATCACATGTGAGGGTTGCAAATCCAATAATTTCTATTATCACCAAAATATTGATTCCTATTCTTTACAATTAAAGTAAAGTTAACATTTTATGTAATATTTTCATCATTTCGAGGAATTATTTAATTGATTGAAATCAGCCATTTGTTTTAATGTTGTGTCTTTGAAATGCATACCAAGGTCAAAACAGAAATGTCATAATTGAACACCTTCCTTTGCAACAAATCCACTTAGTGATGACAGGAGCTGGTGAAATTAGCAAAAGTAGCCACTGCCTTGTGGTCTTGGTCGTTGTTGTTCAGCTGGAATATTGATGAGTGCGGCGTAAAACAACAAACAAACCAAACCATTGTTGTTAAAGAAACAAGGGCTGTAGGTAGTCACCAATATTCCAGCAATGTCACCGTGGACTAAACAATCCACACTGGACCAGTTAAACCTGTGATTGAAATTATGAGTGAAGTCCCATTCCGTCAGGGTACAGTGACATGCAACCAACAACTTGCCAAGTCTGATTCCTGATCTATTTTAGTTGCCTCTCACAGCAAGCATGGGTTGCATGCAACCTGCTCTGCTCCAGCTTCAGTTATGGGCATGGTGCATTATCATCTTCATCATCATCACCTTGCTTTTCAAGAATGGCTGGATGTCTCTGTGTTACTTTTCTTAATCAGCAATCCAGCATCAAGTATTTTATTGTACAAAATACCCCCATAGGCAGAGTACAAACTATCTACATTAGGGAGTAAATATAATTGCAAATGTGAAAGGTAAATATACATATTCATTCATTATGCATAAAGATATAGCATATAATTATTATTATTTTCAAGATACATAAATGCTTATGTATGTCATAAGTTGATAAATGACGTGCACATAATACAATACAGTAGTGATATCACTAACTTCATGTCTAGCCTTGTCTTTCAGCTATCATTTCAAAGTAATCAATGTGAACCAGATTATTTTTAGGGTTTTACTGTAAATTTTGGTTACATTTCAAATCATCAGTTAAATAAGTTATCACATAACCTTCAGTTATCACATGTCCATCAGTTGTCACACTACCATCAGTTGTCACATGACTATCAGTTATCACACAAGCTATCAGTTATCACATGACCATCAGTTATCACATAAGCTATCAGTTGTCACATGACTATCAGTTATCACACAAGCTATCAGTTATCACATGACCATCAGTTATCACACAAGCTATCAGTTGTCATATGACCATCAGTTATCACACAAGCTATCAGTTGTCACATGACTATCAGTTATCACATAAGCTATCAGTTGTCACATGACTATCAGTTATCACATAACCATCAGTTGTCACATGACCATCAGTTATCACATAAGTTATCACATGACCATCAGTTATCACACAAGCTATCAGTTGTCACATGACCATCAGTTATCACACAAGCTATCAGTTGTCACATGACCATCAGTTATCACACAAGCTATCAGTTGTCACATGACCATCAGTTATCACACAAGCTATCAGTTGTCACATGACCATCAGTTATCACACAAGCTATCAGTTGTCACATGACCATCAGTTATCACACAAGCTATCAGTTGTCACATGACCATCAGTTATCACATGACCATCAGTTGTCACATAAGCTATCAGTTACCACATAACCATTAGTTATTACATGACCATCAGTTATCACATGACCATCAGTTATCACATAAACTATCAGTTATCACATAACCATCAGTTATCGCATGACCATTAGTTATCACGACGTAGTTCTGCGTAACTGGTCTGTGACACTTTATGGTGGTCGTGGAGATACATCTGGCCCTCTCCGTCTGCTAGTGTTCACAGGATATTACCGGGGTTGTGGTTTAGTGACAGAAGCAATTTCATGGCACATTATTGGTACCACAATCATAAGAAAGTCATAAGAATAGTACCAGTTGTAGATAAGGTTTGTTGCACCTATTACCTATTTTAACTGGTGCATGGCAAGTAGAAGGCAATGAACCCACTTTGTGGAACAGTGGAAGCTGCTTGCATGCTTAGTCGGTCAGTCTGGTCAATGTATGCCAGTAGCGCAGTAAAGGAGACTCTTGCAGGAACTCGTGCAATCTTAGGAGGAATGGGATTTTGAGGAAAATATGTTGACTGGTATGTTTGACTTTATGTATTTTGTGATGTACGTCCTCTAAAACAACAGCAAGCATTCCTAGCAGTGCTAATAGGATGGTGTGCCTGAATGCGGTGTTAATTGAAAACCATTGTTCTGCCATTACCATGTATTTATTCAGGAAACATGTGTGTTTATGGCATACATTCATGATATGACTGGTGTGACCTAATCTGGAAGTTATCCGGATAAAGAATACACATCACATTTTTAGCTTTTCAAAGAGTATGTACTGTATATGAATCTTTTGTAATTTCTATCTTTCAGCATTTCTAAATTCTAATATTATCCCTTAATTCAAATGAGAGTTTATTAAATTGTTGTTGTTTTTTATATTACCATTTGTATATAAGAAATATATGAACCTTTACATAAACTATAGCTACTGTACTGCTCAAAAAGGTTTGGTGGAGGGGGGCACACATGTGGCCTCTGGCACCACAATTTGCTGTGCAGTGTTACCTCCCTTACCAATCCCAGGATCTGCTGCAATTGGGTTCAAATCACAGTAGATTTGTCCTGATTATGTAAATTGCCTAGATTATATCAGTACAATACCTGAGTTTGTGGATTGAACTCTACGACATACGCAGGTTAGAGTGGCATCACTCACTCACTCCATGAAGCTGTCAGCAATATCATTTATTGAGAAGTCAGTAAGGTGGTTTAATTGATAATCTAAATTACTGTCTGCTGTCTTGTTTGAGATTGCACAGATGTAGGGCTTACTGAAGTTATGAATAGCCAGACACACATTAAGTTGGTGTGGCTGCTTGAGTTGAGAAGGGGATGAGTATAGGTTGTTAGAGTTGAGAAGGGGACGAGTATAGGCTGTTAGAGTTGAGAAGGAGATGCCAATAGGCTGCTAGAGTTGAGAAGGGGATGACAATAGGCTACTAGAGTTGAGAAGGGGTGACAGTAGGCTGCTAGAGTTGAGAAGGGTATGACAATAGGCTGCTAGAGTTG